TTTTTTTTAAAGCATAGGCAAAATTCCTCTTGCAGTGTTCTGTAGGCTGCTGATTTTTGCTCGTGTTATTCAGCTGCAACAGAATGCTTTGTAAAAAGACAGAATAAATGTTTGACATCTAAATGTTTGACTGAATTTTTTTTATATTGGATTTTTTATCTTATTGGAATCGAAACTAGGAATCGATAAGAATCGGAATCGATAAGCGGAATCGGAATCGATAAAATTCAAACGATACCCAACCCTACTGACAACTCTAAAAACTAACACCAGGATGTGTAATCTGAACGGTGTGTGCTTTTATACGGTATGTAAAAAGCTGATAAGTATCAAAAATTAACTGTTTAAGAAAAGCCGTTTATATAACAAATATTTCTGACTCTAAATTCTGATTGGATGAGCCACCTTCAGAGCCTTTGTAAAATGACTGATAAATGCACATGTTCACATTATTTGAGTTCCTGCACTAATAAACTGTTACTTATCAAATTGTTTATTATTATTATTAGTTGTATTAGTATATTTAATTATAAAATTAAACAATTTATTTTTAAATAAGTGGGAGGAAAAACTATGTTTCAGTGCTTTTACAAGTGAACACAAAGTTTCTTGGGGGAATTCAAAAGTTTTGTGAGTGACCTCAAAAGCATTGAAATTTTCCCCCCCATCATCGTATCCCCTTAGGGACTGATGTGCAAAAAATAAAGAGTTTTAATTGGTTTTGCTTAAACTTTTCTAGGGGAAATTTCATAAATGGTTTAATGTGTTTACACGAGCTTATATGTGTCAGCGTATAATCAGTGTACGATAATACATAAAAATTAAAGCAAACTCTGATTCAGGAAGTCTAGAGCAAGCATTATTGCCTTAGCTATTTGTTTTTGTTACTTGGAAATACACTGGAAACGGATGTCATAGCATGTCTAACTGCTTCCTACCAAAACACATTTCCAGAATGTAATTGGTCATAGAAACCAAAACAAACATGACATTTTGCATTAATGATACAATAGGAGTTTATTTTCAAATAAACATTATTTTAAGTATCTGCATAATGCACAAATAGTCAAAGTGTTTATAGCTGTGAATAATTAATTATATATTTATATATATATATATATATATATATATATAAAAATCTGAATGTTGACTTCAGAGAGCATTCATATTGTAAAGGGAAGTTAATTGGATGTTAAATAACCCATGAAATGGCTTGAAACATGAACTATGAAAGTCTGAATGTTGACTTCAGAGAGCATTCATATTGTAAAGGGAAGTTAATTGGATGTTAAATAACCCATGAAATGGCTTGAAACATGAACTTTGGGTGGGACATACTAATTATTAAAAAAAAAAAAAATCCAATTGGTTTTTGTTGAGTCACAGCCATGTTCAATAATTTGTCTCTTATAGGTGTTATTAGAAGGAACGATTCATTTGATTGGCCAAAAATCTGTGTAGTACATGAATCATTAATAACCGAACACACGGCCTAGCTGACAGACATATATGACTCTACAAGCCACAACACTGTAATTTAAGCTTTCAAGGCGTCTTTAACTAAATGTAATCATGTCATAACATTTGATTTTGAGTGCCAGTTATTGGACTCGTGTCTTATTTATGTTCTTAGCACCAGCTCAGAAACCAGAAGAAGTCATTAAGAAATACATGGAGGAAGTGCCCGTGGTCCCAGATGAGGTATATTTAAAGTTTACAGTCCAATAACACTTTTTGTACTAGCATAAATGGGTGAATTTCACCAGTCAATGATGAGGTTTTACCCCATAATTAAATGGAATGTAATTTTCGCTTAAAGAAAATAATGCCCATTTATGGACACTTTTTACATTTATTTTCATGACTATTATGCAGTTTTTCCTATGTAATAATGCAGAAATCTTACTGGTCCTAATATATAACCTGTACACATTTTTATGCCATTCACCTATATGTTCAAAGCTTCTTCTGGAAATATTATCCATGTCCTACCCTATGAGATGTGTGACATCTGGCTGTGTGCTTTCAGGACTGTATTATCTGTATGGAGCGCCTGTCCTGCCCGTCTGGTTATGAGGTCCCAGCTGAGTGCTCTCAGTCTCTTCAGCCCAACACCGTGGGCAAACTCACAAAATGTGGTCACACTTTCCACATGCTCTGCATGTTGGCCATGTACAACAATGGAACCAAGGTGTGCAATACCTTACCAACACGGATTTGGGAACTAATTAAATAAAGCAATTATTTTAGTTGTATGCAACTAATTTGCATAACTATTGTAGGATAATTCCTGGAACGCATTATAGATTGGTACAGTTAATACCCAAAATAGGTTTGAAATGTGAGTTTGGAGTAAATTATGACACATCAAAAATACAGTAATACTGTAAAATATTACAATTGTTACAATGCTACAATTTAATATAACTGTTATCTATTTGAATATTTTAAAATGTAATTTATTCCTGTGATGGAGCTGAATTCTCAGCATCATTACTCCAGTCTTCAGTGTCACATAATTCTTTAGAAATCATTTTATGCTGATTTGGTGCTCAAGAAACATTCTTATTATCAATGTTGAAAACAGAGGTGCTGCTTATTATTTTTGTGGTAACCGTGATACATTTTGAATAGAAAGTTAATTTATTTGAAATAGGAGTCTTTTATAACATTATAAATGTCCTCACTGTCACTGTTGATCAACTGAATGAGTCATTGTTGAATAAAAGTATTAATTTCATAAAAAAATAATAAAAAAAATACAAAAACACTTATTGACCTTTTGAACATCGTTGTATATAATACATATCTGGAATTACTCCAAAAATGACAATATAGGTTCATGCAATTACAAGAATTACTTGATTTTCTTAGTTCCCAAATACATATTTTCATGTAAACCATTCCTTTCAGCTGAACTCATTTTCTCTCACTTATCACATTTCGTCACACCACAGGATGGGAGTCTGCAGTGCCCCTCATGTAAGACAATCTACGGAGAGAAGACCGGTACCCAACCAAAGGGCAAGATGGAGATTTACAGTATCCCTCAGTCTTTGCCTGGACACCCAGACTGCGGCACAATACAAATCATTTACAACATCCCGCCCGGAATACAGGTCTGACTTGGCAAGCTGATATATATTTATTTGCACCATGATTAAATTTTATTCTTTAGGAGAGGTAAATAAATTAACTGAAAGAAGTGCTAGTGGTCCATATGAACCAGCCAAATTTTTTCACATGGTAGACTGACATCAGCATCCAACTGTGTTTGTTAGGAGCATAATTGACTCATTCCTTTGTGTGGAAATATGTTTGTCCTTGCCTCGGCCCGCACTAAGCACTCATCATCTTAATGCACTCTATGTCTGCAGGGTCCTGAGCACCCAAACCCTGGGCAGCCGTATTCGTGCAGAGGATTCCCTCGCTTCTGTTTCCTTCCTGACAATGACAAAGGAAGAAAGGTAATGGAGGGAATTGACCCAGTTCAAATAAAGATTTATGCCATGCTCATTTGTCAGAATATTGAATCACTAGCCCCTTTCACACATTAAACCTGTTAAATTACTGTTCAGTTGCTGAATTAACTGTTCCAGTACTACGTGTTACACAAGCATTGGCTTTCCGTGCTACCATTCACACACTGACACCAACATGCCATTAAAATGTCATTGCGTGTAAAAAATATAGCAGGCTAGTACTAGTTTGAAAAAATAAAAATAAAATAAATGGCCAGGCGGTAGAGATTTAGATTTGAATGGCCTGTGCATGTATTGTTGTTTATGTTTATAAATAAATAAATGTAGATGGTGGTGGTCACATAAAAAAAGGTCCATGTCAATAGTGAAGTGATGCACAAAGCACCACTCGCACAGAAGTCCCTTTCAAACCAATCAGCTTTTCTGTTGGTGAATGCGGGAAATTCATGTGAAAAGCTTGAACTTGATGCAAAATCAGTGCGGTGAAATGTTTTGCCTTGCGCAAAAATCTTAATTGCAGAGATTCCTATTAAAATTAGCTTATATTAATTTTAATTTTTAATGTATTTTACATTTATAATTTTAAATCACTAATTCTCTGAACTTTATCACACATATTCTCACAAATTTTTTTTTTAATCAAATGTTAACTTTTCTGTACAAATAAAATATGCAATAATGACTCCAAATTATAGAGTTAATTATACAAGAAACTCTTAGACAACAATAAATTGATAAACACTGGATAAAGATGCATTTACTGAATGTCATTTTCAACCCATTCTTAACTAGTCATTCTTGCGGTATTCAACAAAAACCTCATCTGTGTTTGTAGTTGAACAAGTTGACAAGCTGAATTTGCAAATGTCACAGAAAAATACACATTTAAAGGGATAGTGCATCATTTACTCACCCTCGTGTTGTTCCAAACACATCTGCCTGTTCCAGACTTCCATTTATCTTCGGAACACAAATGAAGATATTTTTTTAAAGAATCACATCCTTTTTCTCCCTCCATTAAAAGCAAGTCTAGGTAATCAACATTTTCAAGCTTCAAAAAGTACATAAAGACCTTGTAAAATTAAGTTATGAATCGGGCCGTTTTAAATTATATACTATCACTTTATGTACTGTTTAAAGCTTGAAAATGTTGATTACCTAGACTTTCAATGAATGAACACAAGTGATGAGAGAATATTAAAAATATCTTCATTTGTGTTCCAACGATGAACAGAAGTCTTACGGGTTTGAGACGACAGAAAATTGCTTTTGCAAGGTCTAAAAATGCATATGCACAATCAGAAATGGCCCATAGGGAAAGTGGCCTGTCTTTGTTATTTAGCCCTGTATGTTCACATATTTATGGGCTAGTTGTGTCAGTTTCTTCAGAAACTTTGTCTGAAATTCCCTAGAATCCTCCACTTATATCAGAGCATCCTAACCTCATAAAGGTCTTGATCGTTGCGCAGCGCTGTGGTTTGCATTTCCCTCTGTGAGCAAACCGCATCCTCTGTTTACTTTATAACTGAGGGTCCTGATTATCTCCAACCGTCTCCAGGTGCTGGAGCTGCTGAAAGTGGCGTGGACACGGCGCCTCATCTTCACCGTGGGCACTTCCAGCACCACAGGGGAGCCGGACACCGTCATATGGAACGAGATCCACCACAAGACGGAAATGATGTCCAACGTCTCCGGCCACGGTTACCCCGACCCCAACTACCTGGACAATGTGCTATCAGAGCTGGCGTCACAGGGCGTGACGGAGGACTGCCTGAAATGAGACCCTCAGTGCCAGGGGGCTCAAGGTGCAGCCATGTGAACCGGACTGTCCCATCTACTGTAGATCTAATAAAACTTGATGAAAAGGGAAAACTAGAGTTACGCTGTTGGTTTGATGTATGCGAATGTAGTTAAATGCAGCGTTCCTCATCCATTTCCACTCTTCGGCTGAGTCTAGAATATTAACGCACATGTAGGGTCACTGCTTTACTTTTTCCGTATTGTAAGGCAGCTACAGATGGTTCTGCGGGAATGGCACGGTTTAATGTTTTAGATTGGTGCCCAAATCTCATACCAGGAGGAAACTCGCCAATTCAGGCATCCATCTCAACACATGATTCATCATAGGGGCTATTATGTCCTTCCTGACGTACTACATTACAGTAGAGCATCTGCGACTATGATCATTGTACTATTGCTGGGAATCAAGCATACGTTATTTCTTTAAAAGCAGTACGAAAACAGTAAAAATTGCACATCAATGCAAGTCATAAATCTTTACCAGTACTGTGAAATGTACTGCTACAGAAATGAAAGGCACTTTTACAGAATTTGCAGCTGTTGGTTCATTGTTTAAATTTTTTTTTTTTTTTTGTGGTTTTCAAGTCAGATTTGTTGATGGTGTTCACTTGCTGCTATTACTTTTTCCTTTTTTTATTATTTACAATCATGAGGACTTAAAGGGATAGTCCATCCAGAAATGTTAATTCTGTCATAATTTACTCAGTCTAATGTTGTTCGAAAATTTTACTTTGAAAGGAAAAAGATGTGTTGTTAACCAAATAGTTTCTGTTACCATTGACTTGCAGGACAAAAGTTACAATGTAATGCATTTTGGTTCCCAGCATTCTACAAAATATCCTTTATGTTCCATGGAAGAAAGAAGTTCATGCAAGTTTGGAACGACATGAGAGTGAGTCAGTGATGGTAGAATTTTCATTATTGCGTGAACTGACACTTTAATTTTTATCTCAGTTCCACGTAATCCATTTCTATTGCAGTGATCCCCTTTTTTTTGAATATACGTTAATTTGATCTATTTAAAAATGAAAGACTTTCAACAGCTTAGCAACACTATATAATGTTGTTTAAAAAAATTCAGTGCTTGTTTAATTGTAGTCCGGATCCTGAAAATAGGTGTAGAAATGCAATTCCACAGCGTTATCATTGAGTTGCAGTATTAGATGGTGCCACAGAGACAATCAGCAGTGTTTAAGATACAGTTCATTACCACTGCGGGTCTGGAGACATTCATTCGTTCATTCATCATCTCATATTCAACAATATGGGATATTTGGTTTTACAGTGTATGCAACTGTATATATAAATATATATTCAACTTCTAATCAGCAATAAACATTACACAATATAACACTTATTGTTTTTGTTTCTTGTTACTGAGAGAACACGGTGAAACACTGAACTCCTTCAGGCATCATCAGGCATTTGGTTGCAACAAAATATGCAAAGATAGCCACCAAAACCATCAGTAATATCAAGAAAAGGTCACATTTTACAAAAAATAAAATAAAGAAAATCATTTACAATTTAAGTACATTTTCACTCCCAAATTCTCATTTCTGTAATGCGCCCAGAAAATCTACTTTAAATAAATATTATATAAAATATATAAAATTATTTTTTGTATTCCCATTATTCTCTAAGGTTTTATTTCAATCTGGAATAAAGGCGGTACATCAAATACTATCATGTACCATAAATATTTGTATTGTTAATATTTTTCCATATTATTATTATTATTAGCATTACAGTAATGAGTATAAGATTTGCCGTAATTGCCATGAAATATATGTAAAAAAATTAATACTTAATACACAAGGGGCAACTTTATCAAAAATTACAGAAAAAAACATGTAGTGTCATATATATATATATATACTGTATATCATATATCATGGTTTCCACAAACATAAAGCAGAGTAATTCAGTATATTAGAATGATTCAAAACTGGAGTAATGATGCTGAAAATTCAGCTTTCAGCCAGCACAGGAATAAATTACATTCTAAAATATATTAAAACAGAAAGCAGTTCTTTTAAATTGTAATAATATTTCACAATATTAGTGTTCTTATTGTATTTTGATCAAATAAATGCAGCCTTGCTGATCATAAGAGACTTCCTTCAAAAACATTAAAAATCTTACCGACCTCGAACCCTTTCAACGGCAGGGTTTATATGATCATACAATATACCTTATATTTTTACCTTCAGGATTATAAAAATGACCTGCACATGTTGTTGACAAACATTCAACCTTTCAATATTTATGCCTACCATACTTGTAATATTTAAATGTGAATAAAGTCTCCCCGCAGCTGGAATGTAATGTTCTGTCAGTAGAGGACAGTGTTGCTCTACGAGACTGCAGTACATCCACATCACAGAACTGCTTTTATAAAGACAAATGCTTTTCACCTGCAGAGTGAGATTCTGTTCTTCACTCGTGAAATGAAGAGAAAGTCACTGTGCCACCTATCAGATCTAAACTAGTGTTTTAAACAGAAAAGTTAATGACTTTCTACAACTCCTTACTCCTTACGGTTAAGAATCCTTTAGCATCTCTATGCTTTTTTTTAACAGATATGCGCCTACAGCACAAAACGGTTGCGAACTTGCCCAGGGATTAATTTGACTATGTAAATGTCCAAAATGAACTGACTTTAGAAACACCTGATAAATAAGCAGCCTTTGATTGTAGGTAAGAATAAATCACCGGTTAGTGGTAATGCTGTAAGAAGATGCTTCATGCAAATGTGAAGATCAAACAAGATTAACAAGAGAATAATGCTGCTGCACAGCGAACACACTTGTTCTCCATGTCTCAAGTGTTGATTCAGATCACAAGAATGCAATTCCTTTGAAATCTCTCGAGTCCTTGTTACTACTGGGCAGTAATATTCAGACCTGGGCAAAATAAGTGATTGCATGACAATTATAGCATCTTTGAGCTTAGATGGCAGAATGCAATCTTTGTGCACATTTGCAACTCAAATGATGAGTCTGAATAACACAAGTATTTGGAAACTTAAGTCACATTTTAAAATGTGAATGAAGTTAAGTTATATTTAAAAATGTGAAAAAAAGCAACAACAACAACAACAACAACAAAAAAATGTATATATATATACAGTATGTGTGTGTATATGTGTGTGTATGTGGATGTTTTCTAGTTGTCAAATGTTAGTGGAATATGTTATTGTGAATGCAGTAGGATATTGCGAAGAGCTGTTTTTGACCATACTCCAAAAAAAAAAACAAATCTGTAGGATTTACTTTGAAATCATTTTCACCCAGAAATTGCAAGAAATTGCAAGTAACATTTCAACAAAGTTGAAAGACTGAATTAGTATACTTTAATAATCTTTTTTTAAACAACTTTGAAAAAAATCTCTTTTACAGAGTATAATAAAGGTCAATGGGGTCCAAAATAGCATCAAACATTATTGACTTTCATTGTATGGCCCAAAAAACACAGAGACCTTTTTCAAATTATCTTCAATATCTTTCAGAAGCCAGAAAGTCTGATTTGGAATGATGTGAGGGTGAGTTAACCATTACAATACTGAATTAAGTGTCCAAATACTTTTTGGGCCCACTGTATGGCCTTTGAATCACATGAAGATATGTTCAATACTGTGAGAAGATCTCCTAAAAATGTATTACCCCTCGTTCTGCACCAAACAAATACTCGAAACACAACACTTCTCATGCCAACTCATTTTGTAACTGATTTACTGCTTGTTTATTGTACTCACTTCCTCTGTATGCATGAGAAATCCTCTCTTTTGCTTAAGTTATGAAAGCTCTCCCATTTTCTCCCTCCCTCTTTTTGTTCTTCCTAACTGGTAATGAGACCCTCTCTGACTCCATCTTATTAGGAAACATCTATGCTGTTTGTTGTGTGTAATTAAAACAAGGAGCGAAGGGTGCTGTGATGAATTTCCTCCACTGAAGTGTGTCCCACCGCATGTCCACAGGCTCATCTTCTCTTAAAATAGGCTCTTGCAGAGGTTTCTGAAAGAAGTGAAAGAATATTATTCGATCATATACTTGTTTTACTGCTGGTTCTCTCAAATTAAGGAAATAGATAAAAAGGCTCAATGTTTAAAATTACATTTGAATTTTACAAATTCATTTTGTACAATTTTACAAATTCAAATTACATTTTGCATGAAAATAATGATTGTAGAGCTAAGTGTTGTTTGGTTTACTGGAGCTCTAATGTACAGTAATGGGGTTTTCTTCATGCATAGCTGGTATATTTTGACCATGGGTGTTACTTTTATTTTAAAATTAGCACAAATGTGCTGACTGTGACACTGTGAAGTGGCAAAGGGCTTTTATTTATTTAGGCTATATATTTACATCAGTGCATTTATTTTGTCTTACAAAAAATTACTTTTCATTATGCGAAAATCAAGTCTAGAAGAGTATTTCCTTTTATTTGTAATTCTGAGAAAAAAATCTGTTTAAGATATTTTATAACAAGCGAGTTTGTAACTGTGAGATATAAATTCGCAATTGAGAGAAAAGTCAGAACTGTGACAAAAAAATCTAATTTACATTTTTATTCTGTGGCAGAAAAAAACGAATTTAATAAGGTTAGGAAAATATTGCCCTTCATAAAGTTAAAAAGTGTCCTATAGAAATCAATTTAAGGCAAATATCACTAATATGCTGATTAAAGTAAGACCTGATAGAGCACTGATGCGACTATTGCTTCAGAATAAATTAGGCCTACACGCCAATTACTCAAAAAAAAAAAAAAATTCTCCTGGACAAATAATTTTTTTTTTACTCGGACAAGTGAATGACTGATTTAATTGGCTTAAAGGGGTCATATGATGTTGCTAAAAAGAACATTATGTTGTGCATTTGTTGTAATGAAATGTTTTGCAACTTTACAGATCTTCTTTATGCACCAAGAGCTTGTAACACTCCAAAGAGAAAGGAAAAATTGAAATCGCATCATATGACCCCTTTAATGTCGAGCTCTGAAAAGATACTTTCGACTTGAAGCGGTGCTGCGCAGATCGATCGGTGTTTGACATCAAAGTACCGCGA